GGGGGGGGGGGGGGGGGGGTATACAGATACGTAACCTTTTCCGCTATCGCGGTTTGCAAGTATGTTATCTAATTAAGAATAGCTCTTTACAAGGTTTTTGTTATTTATATTATTAGAAGTTCCCTAAACCCCTAAACCCGAAACCGAATTCTAAGAGTGGCTCTTGAGAAGCTCCACAGAAGCAGACGAGGAGATGATCTTGGACGAGCCCGAGGTACCCTGACGTAATGGTTCTTGCGATTTGGGCCTGCCCTAAGGCTCATGGACCCCCCATAGTGAAAGCCCAAGCATTAGCCCGCAAAGCCCAAACCTTCCCCTAGAATGCCCGTAACAGCAATAAGAGCCTTACGGTGGTAATGTAGGGGCCTTAATAATTGGAATAGGGGTTTTGGGGTTCGTTTAAAGGGTTCCTTAAAGGGTTCTAAGTCTATAAGGGCTACTATAAGGGTTCAGGGTTTAGGGGCTTTCATAAGATAAGAATAGGATTTTGGGCCCATTATACTATAATTATAACAAGGAACCCCCGCAAACTAGTATTGGAAACATCTCAGGTGTTCCGAGACCACATTGAAGCTGACGATTTTCGGATTCCGGAAGACGTATCTGTGGATATGGACAGGGCATACCGAGGACTGGGATACTGAATGCTCAGATTGCGATTCTTCCTCGCTCACACCTCTTCATGCTTGCTGCTTTCAGCAAGTTCCGTGCTATCAGCTACGCCGACAAGCAGAATTGTATTTTCTACATTGGACATGGGAAGCAACCATGAGCAAGTTTGAAATCTACGATGTGGTCGAGCTTTTCGTGCTGCTGTCGTCATGTTTCGACGGTATTCAGCATCGTGAAACTTGAACGAGCAGAAGAGAGCGGTCGATGTACATGAGGAATGGGCCTCCATCAGCACAATGAGACCATCCACCAGGAGGAAACGGCACAGCTGCATACTGCATATTGCATGAGACGAGCCGCTGCACAGGGCCCATACCCCCATGGCCGTGCACTGGAGTAGCCAGCTTGAGCCGGTCGCTTCATTTTGCAATCCGAGCAAAGCAGCTATCAGCATCAAACTGGTTGTTGACGCCACTTGGATAGCATTCGATCTTCCGTCTCCGTTGTGACATTGTGAGGCATTTTCCTGGAGTTGCTGAGACCGGCTGCAGCGGAAGAAAGTTGACAAAAAGGGGCAAATTTCAGCGTTCCACAGCTTCATAGGATGCGGTTCTGTGGGGTGTCCATAGGGTTCCTAAACCCCAAACCTTATTGGTTTAGGGTCTTAGGGTTTGGTTTTTTTGGTCAAAACCGGACTACATGAGTTGGAGTCGGCAGCAGAGCGACGACTGGATGAGAGAAGCCTGCAGAAAGTCCGGTCTTAGGGTTTACGGCTTGGGTCTTTAAGGTTTATAGGGTTTGGGGTTAACTTTATTTGGGGTTGGGAGTACGCATCCTATTTCGTGCGCAGACACAGTTGCGAATGGGGAGAGCTTTTCATCTTTGAATCTCAACCAGTCCTGGTGCCTCGCATGGGCCTTAAACAGTATTTAGGGCGCTTCTTCCCAACACCCTCAAACCGCCAAAAAACCCTGAAATTCAGAAATCCCTCAAAAAACAAAAAAACCTTTAGAATCCAAAGTGGAACCCATAGAGGAACCTAGATCGGTCCCCACTGCACCCTCAAACATATCGGGAAAGGACGTCCTCAGTCGTTCCGTCGGGCGAAGTGCGCGCGCCTCATTTCTTCAGCTACTATGTATAGGGTCATTGACCCTAAACCCTAAACCCTAAACCCTAAACCCTAAACCCTAAACCCTAAACCCTAAACCCTAAACCCTAAACCCTAAACCTTAACCGTTGACCAGGGGGCCTCTTCGTAGTTTGAGTGGGGTGCCCGGGTATAATATAGTTCGACAGGTAATGTAGAAACTTGATTAAGAAATCCTTATCCAAAACACCAATATATTCGGATCCATATAAACAGAATAATGCTAAGCCCTAAACCATAGGTTCCTTAAGTTCCTTAATCAGGTTCCTATATATAGACGTCTGAATATTAGATGAGGTTTAGGGTTTTGGGTTCTATTACTTCTTAGGGCTCCTGATGGTTCTGCTGTTCTGCAGAGTTTTGGGTATTACGATTTGCCCCAAAGCCCCACTTTTTACATTTTTGCGTAAGGGCAACGCTTCCGTACAAGGCTAAAACAGGGTTTAGGGTTTAGTAGGGACTACGGGTGTAAGGGCGTTGATTTTCAAGATCTGTGTCGCATGTGACAACTGGTTCTGCTATTTCCTGCAGCCACGGCCTCACCAGCAACAGCAACGCCAGCAACACCATGCAGCACTACCACCAGCACTAGCACCAGCCACCACCATCACCACCGCCAGATCTGTATGTAGCGGCTCTGCTTTTTCCCGCAGCCACGGCCTCACCAGCAGCAACAGCAAGACAAGCAACGCCAGCATCACCATGCAGCACCACCACCAGCCGCACCGGCACCGGCACCAGCACTAGCACCAGCCACCACCATCACCACCACCGCCGCCGACGCCGCCGCCGCCGCCACCACCACCACCACCACCACCACCACCACCACCACCACCACCACCACCACCACCACCTACACCACCGCCACCACACACCCCCCCCCCTAGTTTCTCAGCCGCAGTTTGTGACATATTCGATTATCTTCCCTTAGACCTTAGATTCTCAGATACTCATATTTTAACATCTACCAGAAAACCCCCTTTTGATTCGTCAGGCCCCTATATTATAGCACGCTGCCACGGCATGGTAGCCCCCTAAACCCTGAACCCCTAAACCCCTAAACCCAAAGCCCCTAAACCCAAAGCCCCCAAACCCCTAAACCCTAAACCCCTAAGCCCTATAAACCCCTAACCCCCAGAAGCCCTAAACCCTAAACCCCTAAATTCCTAAACCCTTAAACACTTAAACCCTAAAACCCCTGAGCCCTAGGCCCCTAAACCCTTAAAGCCCTGAACCCTAAACCCCGTTTTGGTCGTGAGGCTCCAGAGCGACCCATGCTTCTTCTGGCCCCCAGAGAGGACGAGGAGGCCCTCTTCAGGTTCTAGAACTTAGGGCTTTAAGGGTTTAGGGTTCTAGGGTTTAGGGGTTTAAGGTTCTAGATCTTAGGGATTTAGGGATTTAGGGGTTTAGGGTTTAGGGTTTAGGGGTTTAAGGTTTAGGGTTTTTAGGGGTTTAAGTATTTTGGATGTTGGCTTTGGGTTTAGGCTTTGGGGTTTTGGATTTTCGGATGTAGGGTCTTGTTTCTCGGAATTCAGAGTTGATTGTGCCCCGCTCCTTTGCTGTTCGGGGTCAGGTTCATGGAGATCTGTGTAGCCTAAACCCTAAACCCCAAACCCCTAAACCCCAAACCCCTAAACCCCAAACCCTAAACCCCTAAACCATACACCCTAAACCGTGAAGTATGCGCCTTCACCTTTTGCAGAGCCTTGCTCCGATTGTTGCAGCCACTGAACATCTGTCTGTAACCAACCTATATTTAGGGTTTAGGGTTTAGGGTTTAGGGGTTTAGGGGTTTAGGGGTTGAGGGTTTAGAGGGTTTAGGGTTTAGGATTGAGGGGTTTAGGGGTTTAGGGTTAGGGGTTGAGGGTTGAGGGTTTAGGGTTTACCTATAGTCGCCATTGTAGTTCCTTTTTTCTGTTTAACTAATTATATCTTGAGGATTTATAGGGTGTCCCCCAAAAGGAACTACTATGGAGAGTATAGGTAGTTCATGCAACGCTTTTGGATCCATGGTGAGACGATGTTTCGGATTCACGGCGCGGGGAAGCTTTCGACCGTAGCGCCGTAGCATTGGGGCGAGGCATTCCCAGTTTGTCAGCAAACATAGCTCTAAGCCCGAAAAAAACGATTTCCGAATCATTGAGTTGTCTCTCTGCCGAAAAAGGATGCCGAAGCCCAGGTAGGCTTCAATTTAAAGCTTACGGCTGGGAAGGTTGAATTTAAGGTTTACGGTTTGGAAGGTTGAGAGTTACCCATAGGCCCCATAGTAGTTCCTTTCTGGGTTTCATATTTAGAATCCTATAAGGTAATCCCAAAAAGGAACTACTATGGGGCCTTTGGGTATAGGGCTTCTTTATCGCTTTGCGGGTTCAGGTTTAAGGGACTCTTCTGGATGAGGGAGACAGACTGAGCACACTTGGAAAACACTGTCAATGCGTCTCACAAGCGTGCTACTCAGCCCGAAACCCTAAACACGGAACCCCCAGACCGCTCAGGCCAAACCCTAAGCCCTATAAGCCCTAAACCCTCAACCCTAACCCTAAACCCTAAACCCCTCATAAACCGTAACTCCTACACGACGTGCCCTCCCAGAGGCCGACAGCAAGCGATGGAAGGAGATCCTCGCCGGTTTCAGGCCGCCAGTATGCAACAAACTTGAGGAGTTTTGTGTTTTTAGATGTGCGGTTCAGGCTTGTGTGGAGAGTATTGCTAGTGGTTGCGCAAGGTTTTTCAGGGGTTTCTTCAGGCACAGAATTTTGATCGTTTTGTCTCGGGCTTCCATGCTTGTCTTGGGGTTCTAAATCAATCGTGGTGAAGAGGGGCAGTCGGGGCAATCCTAGCAACCCCTATGGTTCAGGGTTCTGTGTTTCTGGCAGTATACTAGTAGAACTGGTTAGATAGAAGTAATTGGTAGCTTTGTGTTTGTAGAAGAAATGCAGGTTAGAAGTACGTAAAGGTTTCTCTGTACTGTTATGGGGGATACTTCCCTAAAGCATGATAGTAATTCCGAAGGTAGAAACCCTACATTCTAGTATATGGGTACTTAGGAACCCTTAAAAAGGACCTTAAACCCAAATTAGACCCTTAAAGAAACCCTACATTCTACTACAAAGGTACCTTGGACCCTTTGGGGTAGTAGTCGTTGTTGTCGAAGCCCAGAGCTCGAAACAGTATCAATATCAATAATATAGGGTCTTAATAGAGTTTTGGGCCTCCTTTAAAGGGTTCCTTAAAGGGTTCTATAAGGGCTACTACAAGGGCTTAGGGTTCAGGAGCCTTAGTAGTTAGAATAGGGTTTTCGGGCATATAATACTGTAATTATAATAAAGAACCCCCAGAATCGTTACGTAATTATCAAGACTCTAAACCCTATCAACCCTAAACCCTAATAGGTTTCAGAGGGCTCAGGGTTTTGGATGTCAGGGTTTAGGGCTCGACACAAACCGTAGAACCGCCATATGGCCACATAAGTCATATAGAATCCCTGCGAAGCCATGATCAAAAAAAAGCCTAAACCCTAAACCCTAAACCCTAAGCCCTAAACCCTAAACCCTAAACCCTCGCATCCTTCAGGTGCAGGAGTGGTACAGAATTTCCGGGTTTCAGGGCTCTTCAGTCCGTGGAATAGGGTTTATAGGGTTTAGAGTTTAGGGTTGAGGGTTTAGGATATCCGTACTCCGTGCGCTGTTTTAAGTTCTTCCCTGATTCTCATTTCTGCACTCAAAATTTGAATTTGGGAGTCCGGGACAAGATCGTGACCTAAATCCTAAGCTCTAAACCTTACGTCCTACACCTTAGTGTTACATGTTGATTGATGAGACACCCTAGCCTCCCCAAAAAGGGTCAACCTTTCAAGTTATAGTAGGATTTAAGTTTTCGGGT